TAACTACGTAAACGTGCCAGTCAAGACTATGGTGTACTGAAAATGAATCCAAAGAGCGACTGTGACTTGGAATCCATCAAGGGTACGATATTTGAGACGGGACTTTTCATAACGTAGAAACCTCGGACTAGGCTGAAAGCAGATTTGAGACAAGAAAAGCCACCATGGCTAGGAAGTAAGAAGAGCTAACGTGCAACAGGAAGAAATACCCGAGAAGTGGGTATGCACACAAATGCATCAACGACGAATACGATGAAAAATAAGGCACTGGATCAGACAAAACAGTCAGATCTGAATGCAAAGACGCTCAGCAGAGGCTGCAAACTGCAAGGCTTCGGACAAACAATTGCTGGTTTGAGCGGTACAAACAGAACAGGACACTCTTTCAAAATGCCAACGCATCCTATGGAAAACTAAAATCATGGAGCAGAAATGAAAGTACTCCGAGGTTAGCTTTCCCAAAAGCGAACAATCGCTTCAGTTCTGGACAAAGGTCTGGCACAATGACGGAGACTAGAACAAAGTAGCTACATATGTAAAGGAAATGCAAAAGAGTGCATTAAATCTCCCACGAAAGACAGGTCACAATCACTGAAGAGCAAGCGAGTGAGGCACTCAGAAAGATGAAAAAATGGGCACTGCCAGGCCCGTATCAGACGCATACGTTCTGGCTTAAACAGTTAACCAGTCTGCATTGAAAAATAGGGGTGTTATTATAGAGAGTTCTTGAAGAAGAACTATCTTCTTAGATAACTACTTCCTTGGTTAAACAGGTGCACACCTAGTCCTGAAGAACGAGAATACGGGTAGGGGTTTTGTGTAATGTTGCTAAGCATTGGGAAATCACTACCTTCCAACTACCTGAATACTTCTAACTTCTAACTGAGCCAAATCAGTTTGCGAACATACCTGGGTGGACAACACCATATTGCATGAGGAAAAAACCTGCCTGATCGAATCAAATAGATCTGAGGAGAGGTAACTCACGGGCAAGGCATTACGTCTGGATTTCAGCATCATACTCGCGCCCTGGACTCAATTTTGGACTGTCACCTGATTTAAAGCCACATAGATCGATCCGAGCACATCTGAAAGTTTACGATTTTAACGACAGCATAATAAAGTTCTTCGAATCACCAATGAAACAGTAGCGTAAAACACAACTATGCAACAAAGTCTCCCCGAGATCGGTGAAGATTAAACGATGAGTGTTCAAAGGAGATCTAATCTCGATGCATCTAATCGACCTGGCATTGAATCCACTCAATTACTTCCTGAATAACACCGGAAAAAGATAATCTGATCCAAGGCGCACGATCCTTCCAGAAGATATCAGAATGAAATTCATTTAGGATAAATAACAGGAAACTTAGGACAAGGCGACGGCGTGACACCACCGTCGACCGTGGAAATAAATAGTTTTTAGGAGCAACAGTTCTACAAATACCTGAGAATGTTGGAACGTTACGATATTTTGATTGGAAAAATAAAATTAATGATAAAGACGCGATCGAGAAGAGAATCTACATAGAGTAATAAAGAGCAAGTTTCAGAAGAAGAAAAACGTTGTGACAATTAACCTGTAATCTGTACCATTTTCAGCTTATACTAGATGCCTAGGGAAGTTGTTTTAAATGTCCTTGAACATGTAGTTTATGATACATTGAAAAGAACATGGCGACAGCCTACGAGTGGGGCCTAAAGAAGGAGAAAGAAAGATTGGTCTTTTCAAGGCTGTTAGAATAAGAGGCATCGAAGACGAATGGTTATGTATGTACGAAGGAGAGGAAAGAGAAGTTTTCGACAGATGGAATATCGACCTTCATTTCACACGAGGGTGAAAACTGTTCGTCAGGTTGGCTGTGGGGGTGGGCATTGATCTCAATTTTCATGTCATCAAGCAGGAGTGCCAAATTCAGTTTAAAAGCAGAGCAGGCAGCGTCTGTATGACAGGCACAGTCTGCATTCTACTGTTTCATTCCGCTACATTTGCCACAGTCGTACTCATTTATCAACGTCAGAGGGAAGTAACTGAGTGAGCTTAACTGGGCTCGAATTGAAGAAGTTCATGTTCTGAATCGGACGCTTTGATGACGGAATAAACCAGGTCTGAAGCAACGCTTGGTAAATTCCTTGCTAAAGGTAACTCATGGTATCGAGGCAAGCCAAAGCGGAGAGGACACGCCAGTGAACAGGTTAACTAATAGATGGACAGTCTGATGTGCAGATAAAAAGTTAAATAGGCAGATGGTAGATGCTCAGATTCATAGTTCGATCGATTGACGCAGAAACATACAGACAAAATAACAAATCGATCGACACACAAACGAGAGTACAGACGAAAACTGGCGTGATGTGGCATCTTGAAAGCTGTCAGCACAAATGAAAATAATTTTACGAATATTTTTTACAGATGATTTAACTGCCATTATTTGTATTCAAAGCATTTATTCATTTGGCCGACCTTACTCTTTTTAGCTCACTGGAGTCCGAGCTGTAACAGAAAAAAGCCTGATTCCGGTAGCCAGTTCACGGTCTGTTTTTGTTTTCTTAATGATCGACGGCAGACATGAGGCGAGGTGGTGTATCGGGACTGCCTACCACACGTCTACCGAAGGATACGCGTTTTTCATCGTTCCTGCATTGCCATTTACTGAAAGGTATGGTATGGTAAAATCTGAAGCATATCAACCTCCTATAACCTCAACTTCCTACAACGTCAAGCAGAAAACTTTATTGTTAGCAACAGAATGACATTAAACATGGATCAACGCCAAAACAGCTCATCTTCGCTAATGTCAAGAGCATTGTCTGAGTTTGCACCGAATGCACAATGAAGCATTTAATTAGTCGGGCTAGCGTCGTAATCCGTTTTTCTCGATTATCAGAATTAATATAGAACTGATAACCTCTTGAGCTACTATAACTCTGAAAACTTGCTACAGCATTTTTCCGCAGTACTGATTGCAGATCACTACTTCCCGTCACACATGGGCAGTTCGCAGTTCAGCAACGATGCTTTCATATTACTGAAACAGACGCATGTCACCTTGCATCTTCTGT